TCAGCGCACCGGCAATCGAGGCAGCCAATTTCGAGATCAAACCCGCCATTGTCAACATGATGTCCAACCATCAATTTGGCGGGTCCAAGCAAGATGACCCTAGGGCCCACATGTTGTGGTTCACCCGAGCATGCCAAACGTTCCGCTTTAACGGAGTGACCTCTGACGCCGCAAAGTTGACCCTATTTCCCTTCTCATTACGGGATAGGGCATCTTTGTGGCTGAATAGCTTTCCAACGGGTCACTTCACAACATGGGCGGCACTGCACCAAGCATTCATGCAAGAATACTTTCCTCCATCGGCAGTTGCTAAAATTAAAACAGCAATCCAGAACTTTAGGCAATTCCTGATGGAGTCCTTAAGTGAAGCATGGGATCGTTTCAAGGATATGAGAAACAAATGTCCACTCACACTGATGGATTCTAGTAGCTTGATGTTCCATTTTTACAATGGACTTCAAGTTAGTAGCAAAAAAGAACTTGATTTCTCTTCTCAGGTGGGATCATTCCTTGACATGGTACCCAACACCAACGAAGCTCTGGTGGAGAAGGTCACTTCAAATGCAAGATACTGGTATGACGAAAGAACTCCAGCAGCAACAAAACCAGGCTATCTTGAAGTTGACCAACTCACGGCCTTAACAGCAAAGATTGAAGGGTTGGTCGTGGAAGTAAAGAATCTGAAGAATGAAAACAATCACACCAACCAAGTCAACAACATCGGTGCTGTCCCGAATCAACAATCATCCCGATACTTCGGGAACTCAAGCTCTGCTCCACAGTCATCTCAATTTAATACTTTTTCACCTGTTTCTCATTCAACTGAACTTGTACTCTCATGTGAGATATGTTTTGGTCCACATTTGACCAACTCGTGTCAATTAGTCGATGAATGTAATGTAAACAACAACAGGGAAGTGAACATGCTGGAGTACGGCCGAACAAAACAAGAAGGGCCATGGGCGAATCAGGGCAACAGGGGGGGTAACTCCAACTACCCTCCTCAGAATTTCCAAGGAAGGAATTACCAAGGTAACCAATGGCGGGGGGATTACAACAATGGTCCTCCTCGCGGCGGTTATCAAGGTAATCAAAACTACCCCAACAATAATCAAGGGAACAACTTCCAGAGTCGGAACCAGGGAGGTGCACCAGCCCAACAGAACAACCAAACTTATGTGCCTCCACACCAACGACAAACGGAGGCTGCCCAGCCATCAGAGATAGGCTTGTTGGTAGCAGAACTGGCAAGGACACGGGAGGAAATAACAAGATACAAGGCCAGCACTGACAATCAGATCAAAAATCTGATGATGCAAATTAATCAGAACAATGTTCCTGGTCGTCAGCCAGGCAACTTGCCTAGCACCACGGAACCAAACCCCCGTGAACATGTGCAAGCCATCACTCTTCGAAGCGGGAGACAAACAACCGTGGCTGAGCAGAAAGACAAGGAAGAGGAAGGTACCCCGACCATGGAACCTGAGAAACAAACTGATGCTCCAACTGAGAAGAGCATGGAACCAACACGCCCTAACACAAGGGTCACTATCGTTAAACCTTCTCTCCCGTTTCCTTCACGGGTTAGAAATGATGACGATAGCAGGAAGTACAACAAATTCCTGGACCTACTCAAACAACTCCACGTCAACCTGCCGCTGATGGATGCCTTAGCGGAGATGCCCAAATATGCCAAGTTTTTCAAAGACTTGCTGACAAACAAAAGGCAGCTGCAGGAGCTCTCAGTCGTGGACTTAAACGCAGAATGCTCGGCCGTGGTTCTAAGGTCAATACCCGAAAAGCTAAAGGATCCAGGTAGTTTCACTATCCCTTGCTCTATTGACAATTTCAATTTCAATAATGCTCTAGCTGACTTAGGGGCAAGTATCAATCTGATGCCTTCCTCTATAGTCGAAAAGCTAGGACTTGGGGAAATGAAACCCACCAGGATGTGTCTTCAACTGGCTGATCGCTCAGTCAAATATCCGAAAGGAATTGTTGAAGACGTCTTGGTCAAGGTTGACAAATTCATTTTCCCAGTCGACTTTGTAGTAATGGACATGGAAGAGGATAGAGAAACACCTCTTATTCTGGGAAGGCCCTTTCTGGCTACCGCCAGGGCTTTAATTGATGTCACTGATGGCTCATTAACTCTAAGAGTCGGAGATGATCTATGCACCTTCCGACTCTCAGATGTTATGAAACACCCCACAGATTCCTTTCAAGGATGTCATTTTCTTGATACCTTTGAGTCTATTGAAGGGTATCTGTTTGGGGAAGAAAATGGACATGTAACTGATGAAGCATGTCTGTTAAAAAAGGCCAACAGTGATGTGAGTGATGCATGTGAGAGTTGTGAGGATGCGCTGATTGATCAAGCTTCTAACGAAGTATTGACTGAGTTTGAGGGGGAGAAAAATGAACAAAACTTGAAAAACGACCACCCCCTCGAGCTAAAGAAACTGCCCGACCACTTAGAATATGCATTCTTGGATGACGAAGGCAAATGCCCTGTCGTCATCGCCGCACACTTAAGTGAGGAACAAAGGGAGAAATTACTTGGAGTCCTTAAGACACACAAGCAAGCAATTGCTTGGAAACTTGAGGACATCAATGGAATTAGCCCCACCTTTTGTACCCACACCATCAAAATTGAGGAAGGGTTTAAACCAGTTGTCCAACCACAACGACGTTTAAACCCAAACATGATGGAAGTAGTGCGTGCCGAGATTGTCAAACTGCTGGATGCGGGTATCATTTACCCCATCTCTGATAGCCAGTGGGTAAGCCCTATTCATGTTGTCCCCAAAAAGGGGGGAATGACCGTCATGAAAAATGAAAAGGGCGAACTTCTACCCAGTCGAACTGTTACCGGGTGGCGAATGGTAATCGATTACCGCAAACTGAACGAAGCCACCCGGAAAGACCATTTTCCCCTTCCCTTCATCGATCAATTAATAGAGAGGTTGGCAGGCCATAGTCACTACTGTTTCCTGGATGGCATGAGTGGATACTTCCAAATCCATGTCAACCCGGAAGACCAAGACAAAACTACGTTTACATGCCCTTTTGGGACCTTTGCTTTTCGTAGGATGTCTTTTGGTCTCTGTAATGCCCCTGCCACCTTCATGAGGTGCATGATTGCCATTTTTGAAAAATACATTGGCCACTTCATGGAGGTATTCATGGATGACTTCTCTATTTTTGGGGAAACATTTGAAAAATGCCTTGAAAACCTGGAAAAAGTACTTATCCGCTGCAAGGAAACCCATTTAGCCCTAAGTTGGGAGAAATGTCACTTCCTTGTGAAAGAGGGTATAGTACTTGGACATAAAGTGTCAAGTAACGGGGTAGAGGTGGACCGTGCAAAAATTGAGACAATAGAGAAACTTCCTCCACCAACCACGGTAAAAGCCATCCGCAGCTTCTTAGGACACGCGGGCTTTTATCGTCGTTTTATAAAGGATTTCTCTAAAATCGCAAAACCTCTCACCCGGTTACTTGAAAAAGATGCGGTTTTTATATTCTCTGATGAATGTCACCATGCTTTCCAAGCACTTAAAACACAACTGATCAATGCACCTGTGCTTGTGGCCCCAGATTGGAGCTTACCCTTTGAACTCATGTGTGACGCTAGTGACTTAGTAGTGGGGGCCATCCTTGGTCAAAGGAAGGACAAGAACTTCCACCCAATCTACTACGCTAGCAAAACTCTGTCAGGGCCACAACTCAACTACACCACCACTGAAAAAGAATTCCTTGCTATTGTTTGTGCTTTAGAGAAGTTTATGACTTACATCATTCTTTCGAAGGTTATTATCTATACCGACCATTCGGCCATTAGATATCTCCTCCAAAAGCATGATGCTAAGCCTAGACTGTTACGCTGGGTTCTTTTGTTGCAGGAATTTGATATTGAAATCAGGGACCGAAAAGGGTCTGCTAATCAGGCAGCTGATCACCTCTCGAGGTTAGATGCCGAGTTAGCAGAAACTTTCGGAAAATGCGAAATTGAGGAGCTTTTTCCTGCTGAGAGATTGATGGCGATTTCCGCCAAGGAGCAAACACCGTGGTATGCCGACATTGCCAACTACCTTGTTGGTAAAGTCGAGCCTACCGAACTGACAAGGCACATGAAAAGGCGGTTCCTATCAGAAGCAAAGCACTATTTTTGGGATGATCCATATCTATTCCGAATTTGTGCTGACCAGGTGGTGAGAAGATGTGTTACTGAAGCTGAGGCAAGGGACATTCTAGAGCATTGTCACAGCGGTCCTACTGGGGGCCACTTTTCAGGGAATAGAACCGCAAGGCGGGTTTTGGACTGTGGGTACTTCTGGCCCACGATTTTTAAAGATGATAATGAATTTGTTTCCTCTTGTGATAACTGTCAACGAATCGGGAACATTTCTGGGCGCAATGAGATGCCCCAACACTTTATCTTACCTTGTGAGGTATTTGATGTTTGGGGCATCGACTTTGTTGGACCTTTCCCAAGCTCAAGAGGAAACAAATACATTCTTGTGGCCATTGATTATGTTTCTAAATGGGTTGAAGCCCAGGCCTGTGTCACCAACGACTCTCGAGTAGTCGTGAATTTTCTGAAAAAGCTCTTTACCAGATTTGGTGTGCCTAGGGTTTTGATCAGCGATAGAGGGACTCATTTCCACAATGATCCAATGGCTAGAATTTTGGCCAAATATGGAGTCCAACATCGAAGCGGAGTAGCGTACCACCCCCAGACTCAGGGACAAGTGGAGAACGCTAACAGGGATTTGAAGTCCATTCTGGAGAAAACTGTTGCCCAGACCAGGAAAGACTGGTCAACTAAACTTGACGACGCTCTTTGGGCATTTCGGACTGCTTACAAAACCCCGATCGGAACCACACCTTTTCGCCTTGTATACGGGAAGTCTTGCCACTTACCCGTCGAACTCGAGCATAAAGCACTTTGGGCGATGAAAAATGTCTGTTTTAAACTGGATGCTGCAGGGAAGGAACGATTTTACCAGCTGAATGAACTGGAAGAGTGGAGAGCGCAAGCTTTTCATAATTCTAAACTTTACAAAGAACGGGCCAAACTCTACCATGATCAACACATCAAGGCTCGTGATTTCAATGCTGGAGATAAAGTGCTGTTATTCAACTCCCGGTTGAAGCTCTTTCCAGGAAAGCTTAAGTCAAGATGGTCCGGACCGTTCAAGGTCATAAAAGCTTACCCCTACGGAACCGTTGAGATTGAAGATGCTAATGGGGGTCCCTTTAAAGTCAACGGCCACCAACTTAAACTCTACCATGGCGGCCCGATTGAAAAAAGCAAGGAGATTCTCTATCTCCAAAAATTTTGAACCAAAGGAGGACATTCGTCAAGCTAGTGACGTTAAAGAAGCGCTCATTGGGAGGCAACCCAACCAAAAAAAAAAAAAAAAAAAAAAAAAAAAAAAAAACTAACCCAAAAATATTTTACTTTGTTTATTTCTTGCAGATGTCTGGAGGAAGACGTGACGATCCCATTTTCGAGGAGCCACCACTAGGACGGGAAGACCCGCCGCCACAGCCTGATATCCCCTTTGCTACTATTGCTGATCGCAGACGCTTCCAGGCATGGGGGCAATACCGCACACTCCTTCCTCCCATGATCCTGGACCCGACGATGCTAGAGGAATGGGGGTACTGGGATGACATTGATGCCCTGCTAGGAGACTCTTTATGGCGGAGGATTCTATTCGTTCAGGAGAGGGCCAGCCTTCCATTGACGATGGAGTTTCTGTGCTCCGTTCAGTTCACTCATTACGGACAGGCTGTGCAGGAGGGTGCTGTTATTGGGTCAGAGTCTCGGATGAGGTTCACTATTCTAGGCATGGAGCACTCCATCACTGTGGCTGAGCTCGGATGGAGGATGGGGCTCTATACCCCAGCATAACACAGACTGAGGAGTTCCGTGCTCTTCCGACCCGCTTACCCGAGGCATTTGACATTGATGAGTTCTGGCACAGACACCAGATCATTTCTCCGGATGCACCCCCATTCGAACAAATGGAGGGAGACTCACTGGTACATACTCTCGTTCGTACTTTCTTGTGGTTTTTTTGGACGACCTAACAACACAAACAGGTTGTCCAAAAAGGACATACTATTCTTTTGGAGTTTGATTCACCGCATCCCGGTGAATATGGCTGTCCTTATGGCTCATTTCTTCCGGAGCCAAGGGAAGACTGTGCGGCGCACTATCCAGGCAGGGCCTTTCATCACTACTCTCGTTAGATCATTCTACCCAGACCTAGACATTCCAGGACTAGTGCACTTACAGGATAGCATCCGCGTTCTTCGATCCTCATCCTTTACCAACATGAGGATCAAGAAGAAGCGGAACACTCAGGAGCTCCCAGGTATTGAGCAGCCGACCCAGCAGAGTAGTTCTTCTCGACCCTCAGGACATGAGGGATCTAGCGAGCCCTTTTCATACATGCCTAGCGCCGCAGATTGGAGAGCGATGATGGATGGGATGAGGAGTCTACAGACCTCAGTCTCAGAGATGCGGGTTGCACAGGACAGAGGATTCCAGGAGATGCGAGATGCGCATGAGACGGCCCTGGGAGAGTTCAGAGACTTTCGATTAGCTCAGGAGAGAGCCACCTGGGATATGCAGGCGGAGCTAGAGACCCAGAGGCTAGATATTGATGAGATGAGAGATTGGCTTAGGCCACACTATGGCCCCCAGGATGGCGCAGGCGATGTTTAGATTTGCTTCTTCCTTAACATTTTTATCATGTTTGTTTGTTCTTCAGGTTGGACATTGCGCTGCTCTTTTGACTTGAATGCTCTTACAAACTGACTATGGATGATGTAAGGATTTTAAAAAACCATTTTACTCCTGTTTCATTATTCCTCTTCACAAAATCTTTTCAAAACTCAAGTGTGAGGAAAGAACCAAAAAAAAAAAAAATGTGCCTTTATTTCCCAATTTTGTGCCTCAAAAGAAGACCTCGAGGGCGAGGTCCAGCTCAAGTGTGAGGAGGTTGCGTTTTACACTCAAAAGTCAAAACCTTGTTTTAGAACAATCTTTTTACTATTTTTGATATGAAACATTAATTTCTCAATTTGTTATCAATTCACAAAATAGTTTAGAAAATCACCCTTATTATAAGAATTTACTATTATTATTATTTTTGAAAACTTAAAATTGTTATGGGTTTTTGGTTGCGAATGTAAAGGTCTGAATTTGTTTTAATTGGACATTCATTTTATTCATTAAAAAAATGTTACTATTAATAAACCTCTTCAAAACTCATTGTTATAGGACAATTCCATCTCCGAAAAGGGGCTCTGTTTCATTCGTTAATCACAGTCTGTGAGAATGAAATATGCATTTACCATGAGATAACACCGCCAACAAGAGTGAAAAAGAAAAAAGAAAAAATGGTGAACAAGATGAATGTCCAAATTAGAATAATGAAAATCTTGGGATAAGGAATTGATTGGTGGTTTAACATAATAAATAGGTTTTCTTAAGCAATACTAATTTTAAATTCTTGTATTTTGGGTGATTTTTCTAAAATGTTTAAAGATTAAGAATAAAAAGAAGAGGTTTTTGTTTCTACTTCTTTAAAATAGCAATTAGATTGTAATACAGTTAGGCTTTACCTTTTGAGTGTGTTTACAACTAATTCGTCGCTTGAGGACAAGCAACGCTTAAGTGTGAGGAGATTGATAAGTCCATTTTTGAACTTATTTTTCTTATCAAATTTAAGCGATTCTTGAATGAAAATAGAAAGAAAAGACACATTTTATATATTTCGGTTCAAGTTTCATGAAATCAGGTAAAAATCACATCCATAATATGTTTAGCGGGATTTCGGGTCAATTGAGCACAAAATGAATCAATTTGAGTGACAAATGCATGTATACTGGAAGAAGCAAACATTTTATCAAGGTGATTCAGAAGACAAAAATGAAGAGCAGGAAAAGCCGCATCTGCCAGACAAAAATGGCAGAAGGCGCCCAAATAGGCGCCCAAAATGGAGGCCTTCGCGGCCGCCTACGGGAAAAATCAGAAGTCAACCTCGCTTTGACTCGGGACCAGGAAAAGACCGAAGGCTACCGACACTGGACAGAAGGCGGCCGCCTACGGTGGCTGCCTGCGGCACAAGGGGACGAAACCAACCACCGGTCGGCCAGACAGGACGGCAGGCGGCCAGACAAGACGGCAGGCGGCCGCCTGCTGGACCGCCTGCGGCGGCCGGGATCCGCCGGGATCCGCCGCGATCCGATTTGACAATGAAAAGACGGCAGGCGGCCGATGTGTGACGGAAGGCGGCCGCCCTCTGTGGCCGCCTACGGCTGACGGGGATCGGCCACCGACCGCTGTCGGCGACGAAGACGGCAGGCGGCCGGAGAGAGGCGGAAGGCGGCCGCCTGGTTGGCCGCCTTCGGGGAAATTTCTCCTATAAATAGCCCGATTTTTCCTCAACTCAAACACACCTCCTCCAACCCTAAATCAGTTCAAAACACCTTCTTTCTTCCTCCATTTTCGAGCTCCAAAGGTCTTAGAGAGAGAGAAACTTCAAATCTTCATATCTTCTTCATTTTAGCTCCAAATTGTAAGTTCTTTATATGTATTTTCATCTTCTCAATGTGTAGAATCTGAATCTGTGCTTTGTTTCTTCGATCTGTTCTTCGAAAATTTCCAGATTATTTTTCAAGTATTTCGCATTTCCTTCCAAAAATTAAATAAAATAGTTATTGTTGTTGAAATCATTCCAATTAATTATATAGTTGTTCACTAGCCTCAAGGTAGTTATTTATCTGAAGAAATTAATTTTTCACGAACCAGAAGTAATTTTTAATTAATTTTGGTAATTATTTGATATTAGTTCATAATTTAGAATAAATACTAGAAAAAAAAAGAAAAAAATGAGTTCGGCCCTATTTACAGTTTAGTTAACTTAAATATCATTACTAGTAGTTAATATAAAATTTGGTACGAATTTAGAGTATTTTTTATTAATTTTCGGTAATTACCTTATATTATTGCTTAAATCAAAATAAATACTAAAAAAGGAAAAAAATTAGTTCGGACCTGATTACAGTTTATTCACAGTTATATACCTCCCAGTAGCTAAAAATAAAATTTATAACGAAGTTAGCATATTTTTAGTTGCTTTTTGTATTTTCTAGTTAAAATTGGGAAAGTTATCAATTAGTTGTTAAAATTGGATTTTAGTTTCAAAAATTTGTAAAAAAATTCCAGAAAGTTGTATTTTAGTTCCTACAAGTTTATTGTTCCAGAATATAATTTTTGTTTAATTTTTGCTATCATACATGTTTAATTCCTTGTTAATGTTGAATTTAATTATTATATCGTTAATTGTAAAAATGATAATGAGTAGCTAAATTTGTTAGGACATGAATTGAGTAAAGGAATATGGATTGACTTGTTGACCTAAAATTAGGGGGTAAAATTAATAAATTGGACTAGTTGTTTAAAATGATGAAATAGTAATTAATAATAGTTAGCCATTTTCATTAATTAAATTCTTGGAAAATTAATTCTAACTTGTCTATGAGATTAGAAATTAATTTAAGCCAACCATATTATGAGCACATTAATAAGGCCTAGAAATAGGATAATTTAATGAAAAGGATTTACATCTTGTCTATGAGAAATAAATTCAATTGCTAAAATAAAGAGTTTAACTAGTTAATGAATTTGGCTATTTTTATTAATTAAAATATTGGAAAATTATTTCTACCTTGTCTATGGGTTTAGAATATAATTTAAGCCAACCATTTTAAACACATTAATGATACCTAGAAATAGGATAAATTAATGAAGATAGTTTCTATTCTTGTCTATGAGGAAAGAAATTATTAGTCCAACTTTAGTCTTAATTTCCCTAATTAAGAGGTCCAAGAACATATCCATTTCTAATTACTCAATTCATTGCCCTTATTTGCATCCTTGAATAATCAGTCTTTATACATTAATCTTTAAATTGCACCTTGCTCCTAGTTATAATTTGGCATAATAAAGAACAAAAACACTTTCCTATATTGAAAAGGCTTCCAACGATTAGCGATAGCCCGTGACTAAAATTAAATTAAGAAACTTCTCCGCCATTCCTCAAGAGACACGACACTCGGGGAAAAACCGAAAGGTTAGACTCCGTTTTACTACAACGCCGCGAAAGCGGTTATCAATAATCAAGTGAGAAAACCTCCCTAAAAATCCAAAAATATCGTTCCAGCCAAAAAGTGTTCTGGAAAATGGAAAAAAGAAGAAAATCTGAAAATTTGAGATCTGCCTCGTCGTCCGCCGTCAACCACCACCGTACGCCATATCTGCAGAAGCTGGTTGTACGAGCCGAAGTTCGCTGTGCCATTCTAGGTCTCGTCCTCGTCGCCTTGGTCCAGCACACCCATCGCTCCGGATTTTAGCCGCCGTAGCCGCGAAGCTCACTACAAGCCTACAGCCTGGAGCACCGACGGACCTGCGGTTTTCCGTCAAGGTCTGGACCGACCCAACGGCCGGCAGCAAAGTTGCGGTTGACGCACGACGAACAAAACAACGAGCCCCGCCATCTTCATTACAACGCCGCTCACCACGCTCTCGGTTGCTCCGCCGTCGGATCTGTCTGGTTTGCTCGTCGAGCCAACAACAAGATCCAGTACTAGCTGACGAGGAAAGTTCTATGGACCACCTACGCAACGACGATGATGGGTTTCCTCCTCCGGCGGCAGTGGCAGAGTTATCTCCTCTCAAATTTTTGCTTGCCTATCTCGTTCGCAGAAGCCAGAGAAAGGTTTGGTGTATGGATTTTAGTTGACCCACTATAATAATTCACATTTGTGATATGTGGCCTAAAGAATCCATACGTGGATGGACTTAACTCCTCTCATGATGGCTGGCTGAGAAAATACGGAGCAAATATCTAGCTTCTAGTTAAAGTATGTGGGCCAGCAGATAACATTTAGTCCAGAACCAGTCTAAAAAAAACGGAGGGCCGTGGTTTTTGCAACATATTCAGTCCACTTTAAAAAGATAAGTACTCTTTAATTTTCATATTATTTATTTTTATTTAAATTAATTTTTTGTCGGGCGAATATCACACTATCACGCACTTATGATCAAATGCATAGTAGAGTGTGGCTTGAGACCCATCACTAGGATTTAAAGCCCTGACTCCTCAGGCACAAAGCCCTGACTCTTCAGGCACAAAGCCCTGACTCCTCAGGCACAAAGCCCCGACCAAGTCGGGCACGAAGACCGGTCTCAGTCATTCCTCGAGTGGCGACCGTTGCTCACGAATAGCTCACACATCCATTCTACTAAGTATTTAATCATGTACCATAGCCCTCGGTGAAACAACTCCCACCAAGCACCTTCGTGGATGCAGCAGCATAAGCCTTCGGCTTGTCAATGTTGCACCCTCGAGCATGTAGCAGCATAAAGCCTTCGGCTTGTCAATGTTGCATCCTCGAGCATGTAGTAGCATAAGCCTTCGGCTTGTCAGTGTTGCATCCTCGAGCATGTAGCAGTATAAGCCTTCGGCTTGTCAGTGTTGCATCCTCGAGCATGTAGCAGCATAAGCCTTCGGCTTGTCAATGTTGCATCCTCGAGCATGTAGCAGCATAGGCCTTCGGCTTGTCAATGTTGCATCCTCGAGCATGTAGCAGCATAAGCCTTCGGCTTGTCAATGTTACACCTTCGAGCATGTAGCAGTATAAGCCTTCGGCTTGTCAATGTTGCACCCTCGAGCATGTAGCAGCATAAGCCTTCGGCTTGTCAATATTACACCCTCAACGACAGAAAACTTACATTAACAATTCACATCTCCACTCGTTTCAAGTAACGAACTCCCGATCGGGAACATGAATCCCAAGAAAAAGATTTTATATGTATGATAAATGTGCAGGTACAAAGATGACTTTACTCATTTTCACCTCGTCTCCACTCGCCTCAAAGAGTGGGGACTGGGGGACTGAGGGGTCAGAGTTTTTAGATGAGCAGAAAATATCACGCATGAGCAGGAACAAGAGCTGAGTTGGTTGAAGAGGAGCTGAGCTAGATTGATTATGTCGGAAGGGACTTACCTTCCTCGTTTAATGTTTGGGGACGCTAGGTGTACTCTTTTTCCCTTTATTAGGATTTTTTCCCACTGGGTTTTTCCTAGTAAAGGTTTTTAACGAGGCACCTCCCCATCATTGACAAGGGTGGTGGTCCCCCGGCCGAAGAGGAAAAACGTTGCAGATACAGTTTGGACTACTCCCTTTCGCCTTGAGTACTCTCGACTCAGGGAGTGGGGAACTCCTGATGGATTATATAGACTCCGACCCCCCGGTATGCCGACTACTGGGCCTGGACAGCGGCCCACACACGTTTAGCGGATTCATATTATTGTACATTATTATTATAGCTGCGATTATCCATCATTGACAAGGGTGTGGTCCCCCGGCCGAAGAGGAAGAACGTTGCAGATACAGTTTGGACTACCCCCTTTCGCCTCGAGTACTCTCGACTCAGGGAGTGGGGGATCCTGATGGATTATATAGACTCCGACCCCCCGGTATGCCGACTACTGGGCCTAGACAGCGGCCCACACACGTTTAGCGGATTCATATTATTGTACATTATTATTATTATTAAGATGTTCTAGATTAGCTTTTTATACTATCAGTCCATTTATGTAACCGGGTCTATCAGGCCCATATTAGAGGCCCAAACCTGGATTTTCCCTATATATACTCCTTATAGGAGGCTTATAACTGATATAACAAATATTCATTCATTCTATACACTTTCATTATTTCTTCTCTATTCTTGTTTAATCTCTCCTGTTCATACAATATGGGTATCGATTATCCAACAAATATGCAAACAAATATAGGGCGTGTTTGGCATTCTGCGGTTAGCGGTTAGCTGATAGAGGGTTATGTTAGCGGGTTGTCAATAGCGGATTCAATCAGCGGGTTTGACTACTGGAATAAATTGGCGGGTTGTCAAAAGATAATTGGCAATTTATCTGTTTGACCATAAAATTAGTCAAAAACATCATTTTTCAAAATGCTAACCCAAAACTCCCCTATTGGCAATGTTTTCATTTCAGCGTTTCCAACCAAAAACGCTAGTGCCGAACAGCTATTTACCAAACAGCTTTTTCACGTTATGAAAACGCTAAAAATCGTCAAAGCGCCATTTTTCGGCTGAAACGCCGTTTACCAAACACCCCCATAATACTAAGTGTTGGGTTAATGGCCCAAGTTGAGGTTCGGCCCATTTACCCCTTCTTCCGGACGTACGTCTAGATAGCACACAGCTAGCCTGGCAAGCCCATGTTCTTTCAGGAGGGACGAACGTCTGCAGTTGGGGTTTAGGCTCAACGGCCCATCTCGACGAACGTCCATGCAGGGACAAGGAGCAGGACCATGGGTCACCGGAATGACGACGAACGTCGTCAGAGCAAGCCCCTAGCCATCGGAGGCAGTCCAGTCCGCATGGCGAGGATCCACAAAGGCCAGGGGACGAACGGCCAATACCCCTTGGAGGCTGCCTGAAGCAATCCATCCCGCTCCCCGGGTGGACGAACGCCCCCACTAGTTAGGCGGGAAACCTAGATTCTGGCGGGAAGTGCATTTAATGCTGAAGATTTGGTGGTTGAGACACCAGCGAACCACATGCTTCCACGTCAGTGTAGCCACCTGCCCATTGGTGGGTATAAATAGAAGCATTTATTTCATTGTAAAGGGTTGTCAACTTTCTATTCTTAGCACTCTAGTTATAGCATTCTTACTCGCAACACTTCTACTGCCTTGTAGGACGATCGGCCGACGAGCCTTAGCGAAAAGTATTGTATTAGGGAGTTATTAAGAGATAATAATACCTAATCACTTACTTGCTGCTTACTGTTCTCCTTGATCCATATTACTTGCTAGTTGGGCTAGATATTCATACACACTCCACTCGAAATCCTTGGGCTTACGTGTTGGACCCGAGGGTTGAAGGAATAAACCTCAACACTAAGTATATAACAAAAAAATGTTCATGTTGGAAGAGATCATATATAAATAAGCAAAATGTTGTTCTATTCATTACTCTGTATGAACTATATATATAATACAATATACACGGAGTATGTTATATGTAAATCTGTGAACTCGTAGAGAACCTAGAGCACTAATTCATTAGCGAAAATCTCATTATAGTGGGACAACCACTAAATAAGCATACAAATATTAAAACATTTTTTATATTTGATTATTTTCCTCATTTTATGTTTAAATATTTTTATGTATATTGTGTGTGTACATGTAAAAAATTATAACTATAATTATATCATCACGGGTCGGAACCAAAACGGGCCGGAACTTAAAAATTCATATCCGACCCATTTTATTTATCATGTAATGGGTTCGAATACGGATCCAGGAAACGATTCTAAACTTAGACTCAAACCCTCAAATAAAGTGCCGGATTCAAATCGGGTCTGGGTCTAGACCCAACCCATTGACAGGACTACGGATCATATCAAAACATATCTAAACAAAAACTTTTGGATAATCCAAAAGAAAACATCGACTCCTATCAATTTAGTAGAAAAATAACTACACTCTTATTCATTTTGATTATTATGCTAAAATATGAGACTATCAATCGGGTCATAATTGGTTTTGTAGTACTGGAAAAAGCTACGTTGTGTTAACCGACACAGGTTACAACTCAGAAACCAAACAGTCTCTAGCCTCGAAATCTTGGGTTCATGGCCGCGGAAATCAGCTATCTTTCTTCCTGAATCTTCACTTCCTAGTTTGAATTCTGAAAGACCAGTTACAGTTCCGATCAGTCCCGAAGCTCTATTTTCCACCGGAGAGAGTGAAGATGCACCTAAACTTCTCAATTCCAGGCATTAGACAGTCAACGGAGCAGAGGCACAGACCACTTCAGCTAAAACACGCTTTACAGTCAGTCAAAGCCCAGCTACCTCTGAACCAGTGCCTCTTCCTTCTCGCCACCATCCTTCTCCAAATCTGGATTCTCTTCTCCCTCATCCACTCCTCCCCGTCCAAGTCCCCGGCCGGCAGCCAACATCTCCTGGCTAACCACCAGGATTGCAGCTCCGGCAAGGTCTACGTCTACGAGATTCCTCGGAAGTTCAACTACGAACTCGTGGAGAACTGCAAGGAGCTGGATCCATGGAAGGGAACCGGGTGCAAGGTGGTCGCAAATGGCGGATTCGGACCGCCGGCGACTGGACTCGAGAGCGTTGTTCCCGAGAATCTCATCCCGGCGTGGTATTGGACGGACATGTACTCTGTAGAGCTGATTTACCACGAACGGATGCTGAATCACAAGTGTAGAACGATGGATCCGAATGAGGCCACCGGATTCTTCTTACCCTTTTACGCCGGCATCGCCGTCGGGAGGTATTTGTTCACGGAGTTCAACTACACTTACCAAGATCGGGACCGGTACTGTGAGATGTTCCTAGATTGGCTTGAAGAGCAGCCGACTTATATCAAGCACAAAGGTGTGGACCATTTCATAGTTCTGGGTAGATTGACCTGGGATTTCCGGCGATTGGCCGACAACGACGGCGATTGGGGGACGAGTTTCCTCTACATGCCTCGAATGAAGAACGTTTTCCGGCTGGGGGTGGAGAAGCACGACAAGGACCGGCTAGAAGAGAGCGTGCCGTACCCCACCGGATTCCACCCCCGGTCGGAAGCCGACATCCGGCAGTGGCAGAGCCACGTCAGATCCCATAAGCGCGACAGCCTATTCACCTTCGTCGGAGCGAAGCGTCACAAAATAAAAAACGACTTCCGAGGGATGCTGATGGACTACTGCATCGACGAGGAGGCGTGCCGGGCGGTGGACTGCTCCGCCGTGATGTGCTCGGACGGGTCGCCGGCGGTGTTCGACTCGTTCCTCCACTCGGACTTCTGCCTGCAGCCGAAGGGGGACGGGATGACGCGGCGGTCAATGTACGACTGCATGATCTCCGGCGCGATCCCGGTGTACTTCTGGGAAGGGACATTCAAGGACCAGTACGTGTGGCACCTGCCGTGGCGGCCGGAGACGTTCTCCGTCTACATCGACAACGCCGGCGTCAGGAACAGCAACGGTACGATGATCCGGGAGGTGCTGGAAGGAGTGCACAGAGAGAACGTGAGGCAGATGAGGGAAACGATCATCGATTTGATGCCGGAAATAGTGTACGCCAGCCGGAAAGAAGGGCTGGGGAGCGTAAGAGACGCTTTTGACGTCACGCTCGACCGGGTTTTGAAGAGATTGAAGGCTCGCAAATGGCACCTCGTGTCTCGAAACGCCGACGATTATGAGATCTTCGAGTGAGATGAATGCCGTCTCCCGCCGGCGGACTGGCCGTCCGGCGAAATATCTTTCACTGTGTATTATTACACCTCCAATTTTCATTTTCCGGTGTAACTTGTTTTTCTTGAATATTTTAATATTCGTTTTATTTTATTTTTGGCGTTACTGTTATGGATAAAATAAATTTAGGGAAAACTACCAAATAAACCCTTGAACTTACATAAAAAGTGCAAATAACCCCCTTTATATGAGGTTCTGTCCGGCCATCGCCATTTGGGGCGGTTTACGGTGAAGTTTTTTGATGAAATTTTTTGAACATCTTCTACATTAAGTCTAATTTATCCATACCAAATTTCAACTAAAAATTTAACCAGGAAGGCAGTCAAATGATTTTCTGAAATATACTGCGTTGTTTAACTACACAGTTATCTTCAAAAATTCATTTGACTGTCTTGCTGATTGAATTTTAAATGAAATTTGGTATGACTAAACTAGACTTAATGAATAAAAATGCTCACAAAATTTCATTTAAAAATTCCACCGGGAACCGCCCCAAATGACGATGGCCGGACATAGCATCCAATAAAAGGGGTGATTTACACTTTTTATGTAAGTTCAAGAGTTTATTTTGTAGTTCTCCCAATAAATTTATGTCGGTTGAGACTTAGATCAGAACCTAGAATGTACGATAGTAAATTGTTATCCCAAACAAGGGTAGAAGCGTAATAATATGCGAAATTAAAATAGAGGATCTTGGATCCATCATTTCCTGTCGTGTGGAACGTGGTGTACGTGCTAACGTGCCAGGCAAATGGTTTAATCACGAGTTTTTTAGTGTGATTATTTTGAATCTGAATTGGCCATCATCAGATATGGCGACATCTATTTATTACTCCAAAGTCCAAATTACATTTGAAGGAGTCATTTGAAGGAGTCATTAATTAATATGAATTGAAGTTTTGAACCTTAATGAGAGTCAAGATTAATAAATATTGCAAACATCAAGAATCATTCACTTGATATTGCAAGAGTTAATTATCCTTTTACGATTAAAAGAGGACCAATGTTCACAAATAGGACCAAAATACGAACGTATGTTTCATAGGACATAATTTGGGGAGAGCAAAACCCGAACCGACCCGAAAACCCGTTCGGATATACCCTTTGTACGCCCACCGGGTCGGGTGACCCGAACCCGAATATCCAAACCGAACCCGGTTTGCTTAAGGTTTCAGGGTCGCGGGTAGGGTTTTAAAATTCGCTACCCGACCCGCCCGAAAAACCCGAAACTCCAAGTAGTATATATACTAATTATTTACAGGTAACCCAGTCTGTAACCCTAAGTCCCTAACCGGCTAACCCTAATCCTTTTCATCGCAGACTCCTTCTCTGAGTTCTCTCTTTAATGCCTTCATTGATCCCTTCTCTCTAATCTCTCGTCAATCTGATCGCTCTCATTCACCCTCCGGGAGTCCGGCACTGATAGTTCATTGTTTGGCTTGTCTCTGACTCTCTGCCTCTCCTCTCTGGCTTATTGTTCCTCCAGTTTGGACTGGTGGAAGCTTAACAACGGTGGAAGCTTAGATAGGTGGAACGGTGGAAGCCTGCGACTATACGACACTACGAGTCTGTTGTGAGGTATAAAAGTTTGATTTCATTAACTATTATGGTGATATAACTGGGTATTATACTATGGTGGAAACCTGGAAGCTCGAACTCTAGATATGTTGTGTTATACTGTTATTGTCTTTTGATATGTATTACTTGTGTAATTGTGGCTCACTCATTCATGAATGGTGGAAGCCTATTTACAATGGATTTGTTAAATGTTAGCCTTATTGCCTCAATGATACCTCTGTTTGCCTACTTGACTATGGATTTGTAATTTGTGATGCATATGTGAGAAGGTGATGCCAGTCAGCCCGTTAATGTGAACCCTGATACCTCGTTTTGACTTTTTTTGATACATATTTCACTGTGGTCTGTGGATTTGTAAAATGTGATGCATCTGTGATGCCTCTTAAATACTTAAATGTAAGATTGATGCCTTGATACATATGTGATATGTATTTTGAACTACTGAGTACTGAATAAGATGATGGCTGAATATAATATTCTGAGTAAACATGACGAATTGATGATTCATATTTCATATATTATGGCTCACAAGTGTTGAAGTTACCATTTTGTACTCAAACACTCAAACGAGTAGTTAGAGTGAATTGGTATCTTCTAAGTCTGTAGAGTAGAGATCAGAATAAGCCTACTGCTTATATCCTTCTGTAGATCACATTGTTGATTGTCCCAGACTTTACTGTGCATGTGTAGAAGTATTTGTGATGGTCAATATGTGATAATGTCATTTAGAGTGCTCTTCTCATCAGGCCGGCCTGACGGGCTGCTCCGTCCGGCCGAGCCCGTTTGGGAACTTTCCCGGTGTAATTTTTTGATGAAATTTTTTTAGCATGTTCCTCATCAAGTCTAGTTTGTCCATACCAAATTTCAACTCAAAATTCGATCGGGAAGGCATTCAAATCATTTTTTGAAGTTGACTGCGTCAAAATATACATATAAAACAGTAGTCAACTTCAAAAAATGATTTGAATGTCTTCCCGATCGAATTTTGAGCTGAAATTTGGTATGGACAAACTAGACTTGATGAGGAACATGCTCAAAACATTTCATCAAAAAATTCCACCGGGAAGGTACCCAAACGGGCTCAGCCGGACGGAGTAGCCCGTCAGGCCGGCCTGACATGAAGTTTCCTCATGTCATTTATGTGTTCATTGTTCAATGTGTTGACTGCATTGAGGTATTTGAACTGTCTATAATTTTCAGAATGGAAGGTCAATGTATTGATACCATACCTGCATCTGGTTCTCAACCCCATCTGACTCCTATTTCTCAAGAACCTATGGTCGAAGCTCATGATGTTGGGCCTAACACCAGCACTCAGCAGATACCTGCTATTGATGTGCCTGTTTCTGAAAAAAAAAAAAAAAGAAAGGAGGTAGAGTCCAGATCCATAATATGGGAATACTTTGACAAGATAAAAGATAGTAAAGGTGTCCTTATCAAAGCAAATTGCAAACATTGTGCCAGAACATACTGTTGCGAGTCCAAGAAGCATGCCACTTCCTCTCTGAGAAATCACATACTGAACTGTCTGAAAATTCATTGCTCAAAAGATACTAGGCAAGACCTTCTCAGTTTCCAACCAGTCTTGTGTAATCCAACACTTGAAAATACTGGAGTGTTAGTGAATTAGGTGTTTGATCAAGTTGCAGTTAGGAGAGCACTTGCTGAAATGCTCATAATTGATGAACTTGCATTTAGATTTGTAGAGAGGCAAGGGTTTAGGAAGTTTATGGCTATAGCTTGTCCTAGGTTTCAAATTCCTTCTAGATGGACAATTGTTAGGGACATCTATCAAATCTATTTAGATGGGAAGCTGAATATGAAAAGGTACTTTAGGGACCACACACAGAGGGTCAGTATAACAACTGACACATGGACCTCTGTACAGAGGATCAACTAGATGTGTATAACTACACATTTTATTGATCATGAGTGGAAGCTGAAAAAAGAACATCTCCTTTGTTCATGTTACTTCCCATAGAGGAGAGTACCTAGCCAAAGCTCTAGAGTCTTATTTGCTAGATTGGGGATTGAAATCTATCTTCACCATAACTGTTGATAATGCTAGTAGTAATGATACTGCAGTAGTTTTTTTTTAAGAAAAAACTTTTATCTTGGGGTGACTCTTCTGTGAAAGTAAAGTACCTTCATATGAGATGTATTGCTCATATCCTAAATTTAGCCGTGCAAGATGGTTTAAAAGAAGATGATGGTTCTGTTCAAAGAGTAAGAGATGCTATTAAGTATGTTGGAAACTCACCAGCTAGGTTACAAAAATTCAAGGACATTTCAGACTTGATTGGAGTGCAGACTAAAGCTGGATTGCACCTAGATGTCCCAACTAGGTGGAATTGAACCTATCTCATGCTGAAAGTTGCACTGTCTAATGAAAAAGTTATTGAAGCTTATGAGGAGACTGAGACTTCCTATTCTATTGATCTGCAACCTGAAACTCCTGATGTTGAGGATTGGCTTGCAGTTGAAACTTTGGTAGATGTACTTAAAAACATTTATGAAATGACCCTTAGGATTTCAGGCTCTCTCTATGTGACTGCTAATACATTTTTCTCTGAAATATCTGATATGTTCCTTGTTCTCAAAGATATGGAAGCTTCTGAAACTAATTCTGTGAAACTAATGGGGACTAAAATGAAAGCCAAACTAGACAAGTAATGGGGTGATCCAGAAAAAATGAAAATGAAAAGACAGGCCCCGTCAATTAATTTCTTTCTGAGGAAAAGACAGGCAATGCCTTCTTTGAAACGATAAAGTTGGGTTTGAATGAGTTGTATCGTGATTATGTTACAAACTGTGATTTCTCGGTTAGTGGAAGCTCCCTTTTAACCCCTAATGTGGTTCCTTTGCAATCTAAATCAACTGGAGGTAGGCCTGTCTCCAGATTGAAAGCCCAATTGAAAAAACAAAAACAAGAAAGTGGGGTGTTAGGCTTGAAAAAAACTGAACTTGAAAGTTATTTGGGTGAGAACATAATTGAGGAGGATAGTGAATTTGACATCTTGAGATGGTGGAAGCTTAATGGTGAGAGGTTTCCAATTCTATCTAAAATGGCAAGAGATATTCTTGTTGTTCCTATTTCCACAGTAGCTTCTGAGTCCACTTTTAGTACAAGTGGGAGAGTGTTAGACTACTTTAGGAGTTCATTGAGTGCCAAAATTGTGGAAGCCCTCATATCATCATATGTGCTCAAGACTGGTTAAGGATGTCCAATTAGCCTGTCTCAATAGAAGAAAACATTGAAGAGGTAGAGTGGTTGGAAACAGGTACAAGCTTATACACATTCTTTTTTGAAATTTTATATTTCAACTTATTGTTATTTGCTAACTTAATGTTGTGTTTTGAATGCAAAATTAACTGATGGGAATGTTGGTGGAGGCCCTTCTCTTGATAAGACAATAGTAAAACTTTTTCTTTATCTTTTAAATATGTAATATGTTATTTCACTAATGATATGCTATGCTATGATTCTGTCATTCTATCAATGTTGTGCCTGCAAAAGCATAAACCTGCTGGTACGATTGTAAATGGAAGTGTTGTTGTTCCACTGGTACAATTTCACCTATTAGTGTGCTTGTACAAAAAGACACGGTAATCTTGTTTATGTCTATACTAAATGATTACATATTAAGTGTTGCATATGTTTGCAATGATGATAGTTTCCACCAAAAATTGAAATGAATGGGTTGGTATTGATTCTATATGTATATAGTTTTGTATGCCCCCATTTTTTGTGAAGTAAATAAGCAATCTGAGCCTAAATATATGCATCTTACTTGCTGCCTTGCTGGAACTATTGGGATTTGCAAATGTATTGATTTATTAGAGATTAAGTGTTGCATATGTTGGCAATGATGATAGCTTTCACCAAAAATTGAAATGAATGGGTTGGTATTGATTCTATATGTATATAGTTTTGTATGCCCCCATTTTTTGTGAAGTAAATAAGCAATCTGAGCCTAAATATATGCATCTTACTTGTTGCCTTGCTGGAACTATTGGGATTTGCAAATGTATTGATTTATTAGAGATAAAATGTTGCATATGTTGGCAATGATGATAGCTTCCACCAAAAACTGAAATGAATGGGTTGGTATTGATTCTATGTATATAG